ACTATGATTTAAAAAAAAAAATCAAATATTTGCTGTTTGAACCCTAAAACACAGAAAACTACCAGTATAGTCTTCAAGGCTACGAGTCTAAGCAGATCCTTAATTGGAAAGGAGCCCATTTCTGTCTTACTTTTTAGGTTTTTAATTTTTATTTTTAAACGAATGCTGGATAAGTTCACATGTGTTACGTCCAAATCGCCTTTTTTCTTTTCTTCTAATCTGTTCAAAATAAAGCAGAATGTATTTGCTTTTGTTGTTCGTGGTATTTATAAATCTTTTATTTTGAAGCATCAACAGAAGGTCAAAGTGATTGAACGTGTTAATTCTTTTTTATATACATATACACACACACACACAGACACAGAGTTACAAAAGGCTTTCTGTTACCTAATAAAAAGGTTTGTAATGGAACTTTGTGCGTGTGGTCTTTTCATTTGATTGTAAATGGCCTTATTGGAGACATGCATGAGTGTCCAAACTGATTGTTTGTGCAGGAAATTAATTTGATGTGGTTGGTCCACCTTCTGCTTTTAATCTAGCTTTTATCACAAAGTGCCAGCTCTGGGCTCAAATATGTCTGCGGTGTGGCCCTCGGTGTCTTAGTCTGGCATGCTGATAGTGGAGCAGTCCTCATGAAATGTGCAGCAGGTTGGAACACCGTCTACCTCCTCCCGTTTCAGGGGATACAGAGTGCAGGAAACCCAGTGGAGATGAAGGAGGGATGGGATGGAGCAGTGCGGAGAAGGGGATTTCCTCCGCTGATCTGTGCTCTGTATCTCCAACCTGCAGAGCCAGGGGAAATCATTTTTCAATCCTCCAGCGACCAGGCTTCCTCTCTAATTCACTCTCCTTTTTCTCTTGTGTGTTTATCTCGCTCCCTCTGTTACTCGTTTCCCATTTTGTGCTCTGCTGCGCTGTTCACTTCTCCCTCTTCACCTGCTCATTGCTAACAGGGATCAAATTTCACTGGAAGTCATGAGGGACTCATTTGAGACACACAATGAATACACGGTACTATTCAGCTGCCGCACACAAACTTTCACTTCCCTGCAAAAGTGATCATAAACCACAGCTGTGAGGTGAAGGAAGACAAGACGCCGAGGGCCCTTAAAGCGCCTCCACAGCGTCCCATCCCATCCTGCTGTTAATGGGGTGCCAGAAACTTGCCCTCCCCCCTTCCCCCTTACACACACACACACAAATAAGTCACGTCTCACTGGTCACCGCAACCGCAGAACTCGAGCTACCCTGACTCGACAAATTTCCAGACGTCCACAAGGGTGGGATCGCGTGCTCTCTCCCTCCCTGCAGCAAGGGGAATATTTGCCACCTGGGATCTCCCCGAGGCAGCTGGCCGGCCCGGCTGGCTGGAGGAGGTTGCTTTCGCTGGTCCGGCAGACAGGGGTATGAGCAGGCCTGCACCTCTTCAGCCGACGGACTTTTTATTCTGAGCGACAGGTTCCCCCTGGCCCCACCTCCTCTCTGAAGGCTTGGAACAGAGAGGCCACGACCTCCGAGCCTGAAATTGAAACTCCTCGTAAAAAGAAAAAAAGAAAGTTGGAGAGGGTGAAAACACCCATTCAGACACCCGTTTCTCTCTTCCCCTGCTCTGTTTAGCTAATGCCGGGTCAGCTGAGATGAACATTCCCTTCTCCGCACTGCGTCCCACACAGTGTCGTTTACCTTTGTCTGTGGATCGGACACACCTACAGGGCCTGTCATGCTCCTGTAATGCAGATGGATGTGTCTTCCTTTCCCGTCGGCATCTGAACTTGTCCTCTGCTGTGGCTCATTCTAGATCATCAGCGGAAAGTTGATACGTATTGGATTATGGGTGGAAAGATATATATGTATATATTTTAATGCATATTTTATTCCCAGAGGAAAATAAATATATATTATTAGTAGTATTTCCTGGCCCGATTCTTGATTATCCAAAGCAGTAAACAAAACCTTGTGTGCATAGACGTTTGACTATTGATTTGATTCCTTAGCTCATCCCTTCAGCTGTGCCTCCGGGAGATAGAACTGAAGCCACTGACACTGTGAAGTTTCACCGCTGTTTACTCTGCGCACGCTCCGTCCATCCATCCACGTAATAGCAGCCCCAATCAAGCCACATGCCGACGCTTTGCTTTATGATTTGTTTGTATGAACAATGATACAACAAATCTGGAGGACGCCTGCAGGAATGCAGCTTTGAAATGCTCGGCTGAGGCGGTAATTACTGGAGATTCATCAGCGCCGTGTGTACACTTGTTGAGCTAATGTGGAAACGGGGTGCTGTGCAGTCCGCTGTTTTGCTGCTCTCGGAGCTTCATTGTGCTCTCACTCTCTCGCAGGTGTGGCCTGGGGGGCTTTAAAGTCAGTGTATTGGAAGAGAGGAGTTCCCACTTGAAAAGTGAAAACAAATTTAAAAGTGGGAAGAGGCCCAAGAAAAGAGAGTCACCTTTTGGATGAAGAAATGACAAATGGGCGACAGGGGCAGTGACCTGTGCCTCCAGAAGAGACCAGAGAAACGTTGGAGAGAATACAAAAATATACTCGGAGTCACATGACAGCACTCTTCTCTCTCCCCTCTGTCTCCCAAAAAGTGATTTCCAATGCTTCTCTGTGTTTTCTGTGTAATACCTTTGCTTATATTGCTAAGTAGACTGCAGTCAACAGGAATTAAGAAGGGATTATATATAAAATATATAAAATGACCTGTTTTGCAAGTATCTCTATAACCTACATTACAATCAATCCAGTCCAATACCTCAATCGAACTGTTAGTTGCAATTTCTGCTTCCCTCTTGGCCAGATCTCTCTTTAAAAAAAAGACATTTTAATGTCAATGACACTTATTTTACCTGCATAAATAAAGGGTATATTAAATTGATGTTGCCAAAAATTTATTCCAGCTGTTACCTTGTAATCGGAATGATCTTTCTTGCTCAAAATGGCTTGAAATTATAGGTCAACAAGCCATTTGCGGTAGTTGAAATACATGCAATCACTTTTTGGCTTGGCACATCTGGTCCTGAATGTGAGTGGACCCAGCAGCTCGTCCCAAAAGGACGGGACTGCATGTTTGGGTTCACTTGACACACCAGAAACATTTTGATATAAAAGAAAAATATCGTCCTCGTAAATTCAGTTTTATACTGTTACATAGGAAATGAAAAATTCCATTAAAACCACAACAGTGGCCACGTTATGGCTTGCCAGACAGGAGGAGAAGAAGGAGGTCTGCAGTAATCCAGTGCCTGCGTGTGTGTTTGTGTTTGTATGGCCTGGAAATGTGTGTGTTTTGCTTGCATGGGGTTTAACTGTAGGTGTACAAACAGTGTCATGCTGTAATTCCCTTTAACAATACTGAACAAGTTCATCGCCATGGCTCACAGTGATGGATGATGTGGACACACTCGTTAGACACACTTGGATTTGTCGTGCCCTCTGCTCAAACTGCCACCTGCTTGCTGCCTCGTTGGAAGTGGTGCCTGGCTCAACCAAGGAGGGAAACTTACATTATTTGGCAGATAGAGATGACATGTGTGAAAACTGCTTCAGGCATATTGAAGGAATCAAACAAAGTTCAGTTTTGACATCTCTAAACGCTTGTTTTGACATCTTTGATTCATCAGTAAGTCCCAAATATTCCAGAATTTTATGATCCTGGCGGGTCTACCTTTTCTCCTGTTGTTGCTGAGCTCATCTTTCTTATCTGATGGTACATTCCTGCATGTCAGGCACCTCAGCTGTGCGCTTTGTTGCCTTGTTGGTTGCTACTATTAATAGTACTGTGGCATAGACCAGGGAACCTCCCTGCATTTGTCTCTGCCTCAGCAGAGTGGGCCTGCAGAGGACAGCTATTTACCCAGTCTTTGTGCTCGGCGGGCCTCAGTGTTTGCCCTGCAGGGAGTGCCTCTGCTTGAGGGCCTTTTTGTGTGAATGTGGGTGGGTGGGTGGAGTGGGGTAACAGAGAAGAATGGGATAAACCCTATAGGATGGAGAAGGAGTGGGAAAGGTGCTTGGTTTGGATTGCAGTGATCAGGGGTCTGGGGACTGTCACACTCAGTCCTTTTGCCCATCCTTCAAATAACAAGCCCAGGCCAGGGTGGGACATTTAACATCTGAGGGCATGAGTGAGTGCGTGTACATAATGACGTCCCGTGGGTGCATGTGTGCATGGAAAAATGACAGAAGACTACAGAGGCACAAAGGGTCAGGGAAAGGACCCAACAAGGGATGCAGAAATAGTGCAGGGCCAACATCTTTCGGGCCGACCGTCATTTGGGGTCCCAAATGGATCACAACTCACCTATGCATGTCTCAGTGTGCGCATTCACGTGGGATATACTGAAACTCTCGACATTTATCAGTCCCGGTGTGTAAACAATGAAGGCCAAGAATCTTCCACTGGAACAGTTTTCCAGAAACGCTCCGTGACCATCCCATATGACAGTCTCCCCCAGTCTCCCTCCCTCCCTCCCTCCCTGCTCCCAGCGCAGGAACAAAAAGACATCTGAGCCATGCAGATGAGGAACAAAACTCAGAGCACTTTGTGCAGCCGCCACTGCGCTCCAGTTTCACAAAGTCTCTGACAGGGGGAGCGGCGCGCTGTTTTTACGCATAGCCTCCAGTCCAGCAGCCTATTGTAGACATTGTAAAGTAGCCGCGTAGTACATTTGTGGAGAGGACACAGCTCTGATAAATGGATACCTGAGTCCAGAGTAGAAGAGCTTTTACCAAGAGAAAAAACAAGATATGCGCTTTTTGGAGACGCTGCGTAAAGGCGTGACGCATGGACTTTTTTTCTTTTTATTTTGAAGTGAGATATTTTGACCGACAGAGGAGAGGTTTTCTCCGTTTGAACTTCAAATTTCAAATCAAATCAAATCAATCAAGCCAACAGATCCACAAAAAGAAGACAAAAGGGCTTTCCATGTGATTTTTTTTAACCAAACCGTGACCGCACAGTCTATTCTCGGACGTTTTGTCGTAAAAGAGACGCAAATCGTGCTTTGAAAACTTATATAGTCATTAACCATAAGAGCTGTTTGGAGACAAGACCGAACAGGTTACTAGAGGTAAGAAGCGGAGAGTCATGCCTGGAAAAACTGGCTTCTTTTCATTAAACGCTGGTTTGACGTGTCAGCGGAGACGTAGTACAAGAAGCAGATTGAGGGCAAACATTTCTTGCACTTCTGAATGTTTGACCGACTCTCCTCGCTTTCTCTTTCTCCGCGTTGAATTGTTTGTGTCACCGCAAACAAACTCCCCGCTAATTAGATTTTATATAGGCAGTAACCTGCCAACACCAGTTAGCTGTAGAGTTTTATTTTCTTCGTCCTGGGTAGATGTAACCGCCTGCAAAATGTCTTTCTTGACAAGTCATTCGGTCTCGTATTTCAGACCAGAATATCGTTTCCTTTAGACAACTTCAGATATTTTTGAGAGGGCTTGTAGAAACAAATATCTTGAAGTTTAAAAAAGGTGTTTTTTTCATCACAAATAATACAGAGTAACAAAATAATAATAATCTAACAAAAAGATGGGAAACTGCCCCATCCTTTGGTTATATTTAATTCCATAGTTCAATCAGACTTGAGAGCCAAATAAAACACAATGAACTAACTTAACTCACTGGTTATTACTGTGTATTTACCATCCACTGTCTCTGTTCTTGTTCAGGGTGCTGAGACTCAACAAGAAGCCGTGACAGGACTCCGGCCATAGAAAAAAAAAAGCATTTTTGGCCCCACATAAAGGAGGAGGAGGAGGCGCTTCTTGCCTTGAAGCTGAGACGTTTTTAGATGGATTCTTTATGTCTGCTTCAGCACCGGAGCAGACGGTCTGCTCTGAACATTTGCAAGCCGTGACAGCACGTTACAAAACATGACGCATCGTAGCGTATGGATTGCCAAAAACATGAGCTGCTGCACCCAGCGCGGAAAAAGGAGGAGAAGAAGAAGAAGCGGCTTCCCTGTCCTCTGCGGTGCGGAGCAGGACGCGCGCAGGACAGCTGGTAAGGCGCCATTCAGGGTCCATGCAAAGTTGCTGGAAAAGTGATTTAAGACTTTGTCACAGCGGTTTAGAGTGATGGTGCTAATATCTTTATGCTTGCTGTAAAAGCAGACCGGGGCCTCTTGTCTTCGTGTTTGCTGTGACAACACTGAAATGATCGTTTGATGTTTGATTTGCTTTCACTTCAGCCGCTCTCAAACCTCCCCGCACGCACCTGCCAGCTGCTTTGGACTCCTCTGACTCTTAGGATCACTGTGACCTGGATTCAGAGCTGGGATTCATTCACTGTTTATTGGGAGGGCATTAATGAAACGCAGTCTCGTAGGAGGGTAGTGGATGTGTTTGTTCCTGTGGTGCTTATAAAGTTAAGTTATATGAGTTATAGTCAGAAGTGTTTACAAGGTGCCAGAAGGGGAAGGGGGGCCTCGGAACTGCGGAAAAATATAAATCAAAGGTACTGTGGTTTTATAGGTGTGTGTGTATTCTCAAAGAGAGGACAGTGGCAGTCAGAAGTCCTCCAGTGTGATCCCTTCTGTGGTGGGCTAAAAATCTAAATATCAAAGTGCCGATTACACACGTACAGAGAGAGAAACAGAGAGAGAGACATACAGCTGCGTGTGTTCTCCTCCTTTCCAGAGGCTTTGAGGGGATCATGGCCAGATGAAGTCTTTAAGCTTCAGGTGTTGTGACATTCAGGGTATTTTGTGTTGATCACTCTGGCTTTACCGCTGTGTTGCTGTTTCGGGATCTACTTCAACTTTAATCTGTATTCTTCTCGTTCCTTGCATTCAGACTTTCAGCATCCGGTGATTTCCCTCCTGAAATGTCAAGATTTGTCTGCTCAAAAACGTGATTATGGCTAACTGACTCACACATTTGTACATGAACTTTCATGCTTACACTCTGACTCAATGACCCTGTGACTCACACAGTCATATACATACAATGTCTCTCTCACACACACTCACACACACTGATGAGGCCCATTTGGAGGGAGGCAGGCCTCTGATGTTCAGAGCCACTGAGAGAGTCAGCAGTGTTTTCTCGATTTTTCTCAGCACTCGATGAATCTCTGTGTGTCCAGGCGCTTTGGCATCACCTGAGACATGTCGCACGTCCCCAGCAGGCGTCGCCCACTCAATTTCTGTAAAGCCTGTGAAAACTTGTCATGCCATTGAAGCGGCCTTGTTTTTACTTTACTCTGGATTGTTTTAAAATCTCCAGTTTGTTCTCAGGAGGAACCTGAGGGTATGGCCTCGGCTTCAGGCATCTCACACTCGCCCGTCACGCTGCCACAGCTTTCACTTCCTCCAGTCAAAGGTCACGGGGGTCAGTGGCCCCGCTGAGGGTCAGGTACAGCCGGCCGGCATGCTCTCTTTTCCAGCAGCCCGCTGATGTGTGGTCTGGCTTGTTTTAACTGGCATGTGGCTTTGCAAGAGTTAGCGTGCCGTTTGTTGGTGTTACGGTGTTAACTCTTTCTTAATCTGACGCCAGCCGGGGTCGCAGAGGAGCCACTTAAACACTTATAATCAAAACTAAAACACGAGTTAATTTAAATAAAAGCATCCTCGTTGATAGACTTGGATCCGCTGTGACACTATTTGTCTTCCCCTCTGGTTTTATTACTCACTAAGCCTTCATCCGCAGGGCCTGATACCTCAGTTATTACGCGGTGTGTTTAATTTAATATTCTGGGACATATTGAGGATAAAAACACTCATATCTTTTTTTTCTTTAAAGCAAGATTGCATCTCTCAGATTTGCCAAAAAAAACATAACCTCTGCTTCTGCTGACAATCAAGGGGAATGAAGTGAGGAAAACAGCAGAAGGTAGGGGGAACATTCAGTCACTTCTGGAGGATAAAAACAAAAACCCAAAAAGTCCCACAAAGTTTGGAGCAGAGTTGTTTTAGGGGGGGACTTTGAACAAAGTAACCATAAATCTTATAAACCGATCATACTGACAATTTTTAACATCACACATCTGTCTCACCAGGCAAAACCTGTTAACTTTAAAGCGAGCTTTAAAGCAGATGAGAACTCGACAATTCAGTCCAAATAAATAATATTTATTAAATATTGATCATTAGAACAGCATCCATCAGAGCACAGAGGTTATTCTGAACATCCTGCTTCTCATAGGTTCATTTTGTTTGAAAATAAATCTTTCATTACAGCATGTGTGCTTTAAATCGAGCTGCTCAGATTAGAACGACTGATAGAAAACTGACACTCTTGTTTAACATTCAGAATGGCATCATGAGGATGACGTAACACTGTTTGTTATCAAATTAATGATCGATTTGGTGAAAATGAACAGAATGATAATATTAATAATTAGTCAGTAAAGTTTACTCACCAAGCCACTGACCTATCAGATGATCAGAATTTTTCGTATGCCTTCAAGTCGAAGGTTAAAAAGTGTCTCCAAATAAGAACTCACGTTGTACGTCTGTCGTGGGAATTTAAAAAGAAACGTGATCGCAAAGTAATTAAACTATGACCAAATACCTTTTATGCCTAATCGTCTGATAATGTGTGGCTGTATATTTCCTGGATTAGTCATATTGACAACACGAGAGATTAAAAAGCAGATAAAGCCTGATTTCCATCACAAACAGTGAAACCTACTCATTGTTCACTGAGCACATTAATCTGACTGACTTCAGATTAAAGCATATGATTCATTTCACAGCAATACTGATGCAGTGCAACATTCAAGCAATACACCAGACCACAATCCTTTCAGATTAATGGACATCCGTCAGTAAAAGATGGATGCGTGCTCTGCGCAGGGAGGCTTGTCTTCGTCTGCGCCTCTGCTCCGGTGTGTGTAACGTTACTCTGGCTGTTTTGTCCCAGCACTAATGGAGAGAGCGCAGGGAGAGAGATTGATTATGCAACGTGAGGTGCCACAGGGCAACTTCAATCTGGAAGTGCTTAGAGTACGCAGCGAACCACAGTGATTCCTTCAGGGCAAATTGAAGGAGGCATGATCTGACATAAAGGAATTTCAATTTGTTAGATGTATTCCTTCAGACAAATGCTTCCCATGCTACTTCTGTTTTCTATGTCCCTGCTTTTGTAGCGCTGGACAATCTCGTGTAACTACACAGGGGGAATTACTCCTTTCTGTGATCTTGGATTGTTTTCTTGTTGTCGAGCACTTTGGCTTTTTTTTTCAAGTTCAAACACTTTAAAATATTTAGAACAAAGCAAAAGTTAATACGTTTGGAGCCGCTGATGAAACATAAAGCTTAACCTTTGTGCTTATCGTAAAATCTTCCTCTTAAAACAACTTTTTCTCCGAATACTGAAGAATGTTAACTAGCCCAGCGCCATGTTTGTGTCTCTGAGAGCGCTTTTTGATACAATAAGCTGTATTCTTCTGAAATTAGCAGGTCAGATTCATTAATCATAGCGTCTGAGGGCCGCTTTGAACTATCAGGCCAGGTCATTAGAGCCAGCCTGTCTGGGGTGGGAGAGGGTGACACGGAAACACTTTGGAGAGCGCTGGTTCAACCAGACCCAAGTCACACTAATAATGACCTGCGCGTGTGTGTGTGTGTGTGTGCGCGCGCGCGCACATGCATGTGTGTGTGTGTGTGAGAGAGAGAGAGAGAGAAAGAGAGGGAGTGTGTGTCACTTATAACCACTTTTCTGAGAGCTATTCTCAGGCACAGTGTGGGCTTAATTTGAAGAAATAACAACATGAGATTGGAACAAGAAAAGGTTGCAAGGGTGCAGGAGGGGGGGGGGATTGTGGGAGAAGAAATTTCAGTGTGGGTGTGTGCATGTGTGTGTGATTTGCACTGCCAGTTTTTCCTGGAAATATAAGCTTTACAGTGTTTTGGCGGGGGGTTATGACAAATGCATGTGTGCGTGTGCATGTGTGTTTTCTATCTATTCCTGTCCATCCCTCTCTGTTCTCCCCCGCTGTCCTTTCTGCGGCCTTTTAAGCGCTGCCGTCCTCACAAACACCGGAAAGTGAAATCCTATCCTCCGATCATCGCTCCAGCATAGCTAAAATGTGTTCCCATTTAAGGTGAGGCTCAACCAACGGCTCTCTGTGTGGCTTCCTTTTAAAACCAACTTAATCAGGCAGGAATTTGGGTTATTAGGGTCAGGGACACTGGGAAGCAGCTTTAGTGAGAAGCAAAGTGAAGGGAAGCGAGACGGTGAGGACACAGATGTGTCGCATCAGCTGTTGCTGTCTTTAACTCATGGGAAAGCAGGCGGTGCGCAGAGAAAGGTGGTGTCCCGTCTAATTTACCTGATCGGGTCACGAGATGCTTACAGGTCTGATGCATTGTGGGTTTCTGTGTGGATAATTAGCGATAACTACGCTATAGCTAAACTTTCCAGTGACCCTGCACACTTAATCTTGTCTAGAGGCGGTGGTACTAAATTCCAGCTGATGTGGAAAAATCTAGAAGGTTTATATGCTCATTATACCGGAAACCTACTGAAAGCTGGTGTTTTTCTAGCTCTCCTGCTAATTTTAGCAAGGTATTCGCCACTTTAACATTTAAAATTTAGCAACAGATACAAGCAGTGTCAAACACAAGCTATCAGAAAAAATCACATAGATTTTGAATTACTCTGTTATTGATTATTTTGGGCTGATTGGGAAACCAGTTGTGTGAGCGACAAAGCAGTTGCTGTTATTCAACAGATTTGGAGAAACATTAGCATTAATTCAGTTGTGTTTGTGTCCTGCAAAGTTAGCAACTAGAGGGTGAATTCATTGAAACAGTTAGCTTCTAAAGTAGCAGACATTTCCTTCAGATGATGAGAGCAAAACTAAACTAAAGAAAGAGTGAATGCTGGACATGTTCCCGCCACTTGCAAATGAAAAGCTTTATTGAGCGCGGTTAGCTTAACAAAGCTAAAATAACCTCTCTGTTGCTTAGCTGAACTATTGAACCTTCAGATCATTTTCTGAAGGTTTGTCACTGCGAATGAACCCTTTACACATCACATGCTGACGTCTGATCCCTT